TTGACAAGGCATCATTCATGATATGGAATGGGTGGAACAGCAGGAGTTCCATGCTCGTTTTCTCTGTGACATGTTTTCTCCTGGTGATAAATGATTTTCTTTGTCACTTAAAGACCAGATAGTGCTTCAGTTCATAAGTTCATGTGTATTTGGAATATATAAGACTAAATGAAAAAAGAGAATGTTTCTTGGGCATTGGCGCATCGCTTTTAAAACCTGTGCGTCAGTCATTTGTATTGCCAATGAAAAAATATCTTTCAAATTTACTGCATTCTATAAAGCATACTTTGTTAGCTGTGCTTGACAACTGCCATTGTATAAAAGAGCAGAGTTCATATCAAGTCCTCCATCCCTTTTCATTTTGAGAAAAATGTTCTTGAGAAACATCTGTTTTCATTATACAGCCTATTAGTCTGTACATCCAGTGTTGATTCAGAATATCATTTGTGGAGAGGGATTGAGGACTGATGACTGAATAACAGTATTGTTACAGGGTGATTTCCAAATGAAAATGCAGAGGTTAACCCAGAAATTGGTATCTTAGAAATTAATTATGAAAATCTCTCATATGAGATAACCAAACATTTCATCTCACTTGTGTAAAGTACACAGACATTTCAATGTCAAATATAAAATTTTGTTTAAATATGAGTTTAAAAATATTTAAACGTTACCAAACCCTCTTTTTCAGCCCCATTAGACAACAAAACACTTTTAATGTGCTTAAAAAAAATGTGAATGTAATTAATATGAACGTGATCACAGTTATTGTTGCCCCTGAGTATATAGCTATCATTGCCAGTGATGAGGCAGTGCAGTCTGTGTTGGGTCGGAATATCCTGATCACACCCTGCCTCCATGTCCCCTACAGTAAAGCCTGCAATTTTATTTCATAACTGAAATAAGGTCTACATATGATGTTTCTCTAAGTTCACAAGTAATAAGCCTTTCAACGTAATCTTGATTGTGGAAACAAGATCTCGTCCTCATTTCTCTGGCTACGAAAAGTTACACACGTGTTTCATTTATGCTGAGAACTTTAGTGACTTGTGAAGCTACGTACTGTAGTTTTTCATGAGTGTGGTATGTTGTCTGACTGTAGGGACCTAGTCCATGTACTAGCCCTCTGGCTATTTAATATTCTTGGGGTGTGGGGGTTCCAGATGGGTTTAAGGTTTGAATAACAGTATTTTTTTCAATCTCAGCCTCAAAAGATACAATTTTTGTCTCCGAAGGTCAGAGCTAAAACATTTAGGGGGGGGACCCACTACACATGATTGTTCAGAACAGCTGTGAATGATATAGGGGAAATAGTGTTCAAGCTTGTTTCTTGAACAGATTATTTCCTTGAAGAAGTTTCAGGTCCCCCATCAAGCCTCGAATGGTCGTCAATTAGGTTTCATTGAATGATTCCGTTGACTGAAGAGAGGGACAAAAATTAAACTGTTCATATAAAATAATTTAAAACATGTGTTTTAATTCACCTTGAGTAGTACATTCCATTGATCTATATTAACACCTTCATTCACTCTTTTATTCGTTGCTCAGTCTCCCCCTGCTATATACAGTAAGAATCAGCTGTCACTGACAGTCACTGTAAAGCAGGGGCGGTGGATTACCAATGAGATAATGGGAGATTACCTGACATAACACATTATTCAATACACCATTGGTGCTGATTTTCCAGAGAGTGAAAACGACATGAAATCGACAATAGTGTAATGACAATATGACGAATGTGACACTCCCACAGTCAACAACAATAGATGGCCCTGGCCAGGAAATGGAAGCTAGCTTTGAATAGTCCGTATTCATTTGTGGAATATAATATTTTCCTCTTCATTAAGGAAATTAATTGCATAAGCCTGTTCTTGTGTCTGAGGTATACATAATGGTAATTGTAATGCGAGGACTATGTGCCGTGGCCATTACAGTGCCACTGGTGACATTTGTTCTCATACAACTGGCTGGCATAGGATATTGACTCCTGAAGAGATGCATGTGTGCAACAGATTGATGTTAATGATTTGGAGACAGGCTTCAAGGAATATATGATGTCCTTTACATTGCAATGAACTTTAAAATATTATGAAAATAATACAAATTGATACATTTCCAAATGCTAGTCTTATGCTATTAGATATTGATGTTAGTTTAAGACTCATTAATGAACTCTTATGAAGTTAGTGATTTAATAATATTTCCAGAATTTTAATATTTCAAAGGATCTGGACAATAGTAACAATATTAACTGGTAATTTAGTTTAGAAAAACTATTTTTAGTGCTCCAAGCCGAAAAGCTGTAGAGCCCTGTTGTAATCGTTCGATTTATTATTATTATTATTTATTATCCCGCCGATTTTTGTACCAGAGCTAGCAAAATAACCACTGCCTCGATTTTGTTCAAATTTTGTGTGTGTATGTAGACCGTGGAGTACTAGTGCCCGCCAAATCTCAAGGCCGTAGGCCCAATGACCAAAGGCAGATAACTGAAAAACAAGTATTTTTTGAAGATGTATTTTGCCCTATTGCTCTGCAACCGCTTGTCCGATTACTTTCAAACCTTGCATGTATCTGCTGCTTTAGTTCCTTGACATTTTTTGTTCTTTGACTTTGGTCATTGGTCATGTGGTTTGGCAGCCATATTGGATTCAAGGTTTTCACAGTGTGTTTTGGGTACATGTCTTCAAACATGTCTTCAAACTCCTCCGAGCCCACTGCATGAAATGCTTCAAAGTTTTCTGGGAATTCTCTTCATACAAAACACATCAAATCTTAATAGCCGATTTTGGATATCTTTTTTAGTTATGGCCGTATTGAATTTTGATTTTAATCTTTTTTTTTCAACGAAATTTTACTTTAAAGATTATATCTTGTAAGGTTGTTTACACAAACTATTGCAAGTTTACATGAAGTTAGTGTGCCATATGCATCTCATTTTTTGTTCTTGGTTGTATGCTAAAAGTAACACCGCTATGTGGTAATATTTGATTAACATTTGGGACACCCCTGGAACACGCCAATTTCGTAAGCGGCGATTTCCGGTGACTATCTTTTGACAGAGTTGGAACAAGCAAACCATTTATGGATTCGAACATGTTCGAGGTCGCAAATGGGTTTAGAGCAGACCTGGACACCCTGGCATACGCCAATTTCGCAGCGGTGATTCCCTGCAAGTGGTGCCTACATTTGACGGATTTGGTTCAAGGAAACCCTTTGAGGATTCGAACATGGATGTTTGTGCATAGTGTTACTTGGAGCCCGCCATTACTGCTTGCAGCTTTAATTATTTTTGTTTTGCATTTTTATGCAAGTTTAAATAATCTGAAAGCATCATCATTATCATATGATGGGTAGGTTCTCGGCAGGATAAAGCCAACAGATAAGAACAGTATCCATTGGGGTCATATACAGATAAAGATGCAAATATGAAAGGTCAGGTAGGTACTACTTTTAGTGTTTACAAACAAACATGGTGTTGCCATTGTCAGTCAATGATCGAGTCAGAATTAACCAAAGAGAATCTGGAGAAATTACTGGGATAATTGTAATCATTATCGAAACAATAGTGTAAGATACTGACAATCAGTGCATAACTGGGACGTAGCTGAGGCATCTTGACAACTTTGGAGATGTTAATTGCAAAACAATTAAGTGATAACACTTGCCTAGCAGGATGAGTTTCCAACTCTGTACTTGTAGACCTCTGCTTTTTTAATTTAAAACAGTTGGATGTGGCTGAAATATGTCTGAATTGCCTTGTGTCATGTTGTTGCTGGGTGTACATGTGACTCTGCACTTCGTAACATTATGACAGGCCAGGCAGACTCTAAACAAACGTGACACCTCATAGATAAGAATAGCTGCCCTTTAATAAGGGGCAATTACTCTAGTGGGTGGACCGATGGATTTCCATGAAAAGCAAGAAGAAACAATATGTATAGGCAATTGTTATTTTGCCTGTTGTAGTTACATTACTGTCTAAAAACCGCTTTTAGTCCTATGATGACTGTTGTCACTTGACCAGCTGACAAATCACTGATCTTAAGAAGTGATACATATTAATGCACACATTCCAGGAAAACTTAGGTGCCATTTGTGAGAGAAGTTTTTCGACGACAGAATCGAGAATGACGTTATATGATAAACAGGTTATTATGTGAGTGTGTTTGGGAGTGTTAATATCCGGTATTAGGAATAAACATTGTATTTAGTAAGCATTAGCGTTTGTTATGCATTTCAAGTAAGTATCAGTGATCACTGAGGTTAAATTGATATAAACACCCGGATACACTTGTATGAGTCATGTTTACTGAATATACTGCAATATGTACAACTAGATGGAGAGGAGTTAAGCTGTTTGTGAGGCATCTTTCATCATGGATGGTATTTTCCTGTCATCAGCACACACGTCAAAGCGAGACTTTGGTTGATTGTTTCGGCTTCAGCCCCTACACCTTTATCCAGGCATGATGTTCGTTTAGCAGGAGAAATATTGGCATTTGAGAATTGCTGAGATGGATTAACAAGTGTATACGGAAACAAAAATATAAATGTATAAACAGAGAAATTTCAGTGTAACTGCATGGCTTGAAACATTAGTTTATTTGTTACTGAAAATAAGATTTGTAGAAATAATGTGGAACAACTGCTTGGAACGATGAATGTAACACAACTAACAACTAACAGTGCTAGTGAGTGAGTGAGTGAGTGAGTGACTGCTGTTTTGTGCCTCAGTCAGCAATATTACAGCTATGCGACAGCAACCTGGGGCCAGGCAGACCAGTGGCTGATAACAGGAGCAAGTTGAATGAGCCATGTCACACATTGTAACCACGCATATTTTTGAGGGACATTGTCTGCCCAGGGAAATTTCAGGTATTTCAACATGAAGTTTCCAATAAATGAAACTATAGATTGTGTTGTCAATAAATGTTGTAATATAGAGCTATGAAATGTTGTGATCAAAGATATGATGATTATCTTTAATATTATTTCAGAGTTGAAGATGGTAAAGTGGTGTTCAAGGTGAAGGCCAACCCCTACATGAATGCATCTGATGTTGCCGATAAAGCCAGTAAGTTGCTTTGTTATTGGTGTTGATGAAGACATGGTCCTAAGGAACCATTGGAAGTAGAGTTACACTGCATGCATGTCTGTCATATTACAATGTCCACTTATTTATCTCACCGATTGCTAGGTGTAAATATATACAACATGCACATTAAGAATATTATCTGTTGTAAACTTTTGTGAATATTGAAAATATTGCAAAATCTCTAATTTCTTGTTTTGTGTCAGGCATCAATTTTGAAATTTTAACTTTTGAGAAATAAAAATATAATCCATGTCAGAAGGTAAATCTATAAGCCTCAGAATTTAAAATGTGTGTGATTGAAAACAATATTACATTTATTGTTGCAGAGTAAAACACTCTGATGACGTTACTTATTTCCTTTCTGTCTGTTAGGGCTAAATAATGATGGAACAATATTTGATAATCTATGCTGACAGACACCAATCTGAAGTGGCTGCCTTTGTTGACAATTACCTATGTATTCAGGTGAGCTACAGTGTGTAGTTTGAGGGATGTTCATATACATAGGTAGAGAATTCATTTTGTCAGGTATCAAGACTATGAGTGGATATGTCAGTACTATATCCCTGATGGACTGCCTGGAGGCATTGCTTTGCACGAGAGGCAAACATATATGTCAATATGTCATGTGGATGGTGTGAAAAGTATGTACTTGCATTTTGAAATATTTAGGGAATAGAAATAATGTGTTTGTATGTCAAGTATTTTTACATTAAGCTGGCATTATGAGTTTGGAAATTCTGGCATATGATGTTTCCAGACCCCAGGTCTGTTGTGAGGAGGTGGCAGATGTGATGGAGGTGAGGGACTGGTGGTGAAGGTGAGGGAGATGGTGGAGGTAGGCAATTCAGTCATCACTTGGAGAGGTGGTAACCAAGGAGAAACCATCGTGACCTGGCTGTCATGGTGTCATCTTATCCTGACTGCCATGGTGTGTCACCAGATCCTGACTGTCTTGGTGTATCACCAGATCCTGACTGTCATGTGTCACCAGATCCTGACTGCTATTGTGTGTCACCAGATCTTGACTGTCATTGTGTGTCACCAGATCCTGACTGTCTTGGTGTGTCACCAGATCCTGATTGTCATGGTGTGTCACCAGTTCCTGACTGTCATGGTGTGTCACCAGATCCTGACTGTCATGGTGTGTCACCAGAACCTGACTGTCTTGGTGTGTCACCAGATCCTGATTGTCATGGTGTGTCACCAGATCCTGAATGTCATGGTGTGTCACCAGATCCTGACTGTCATGGTGTGTCACCAGATCCTGACTGTCTTGGTGTGTCACCAGATCCTGACTGTCATGTGTCACCAGATCCTGACTGCTATTGTGTGTCACCAGATCTTGACTGTCATGGTGTGTCACCAGATCCTGACTCTCATGGTGTGTCACCAGATCCTGACTGTCTTGGTGTGTCACCAGATCCTGATTGTCATGTGTCACCAGATCCTGACTGTCATGGTGTGTCACCAGATCCTGACTGTCATGGTGTGTCACCAGATCCTGACTGTCATGGTGTGTCACCAGATCCTGACTGTCATGTACTGTCACCAGATCCTGACTGTCTTGATGTGTCACCAGATCCTGACAGTCATTGTGTATCACCAGACCCTGACTGTCTTGGTGTGTCACCAGATCCTGATTGTCATGGTGTGTCACCAGATCCTGACTGTCATGGTGTGTCACCAGATCCTGACTGTCATGGTGTGTCACCAGAACCTGACTGTCATGGTGTGTCACCAGATCCTGACTGTCATGGTGTGTCACCAGAACCTGACTGCCATGTACTGTCACCAGATCCTGACTGTCATGGTGTGTCACAAGATCCTGACTGTCTTGGTGTGTCACCAGATCCTGACTGTCATGGTGTGTCACCAGATCCTGACTGTCATGTACTGTCACCAGATCCTGACTGTCTTGATGTGTCACCAGAACCTGACTGTCATGGTGTGTCACCAGATTCTGAATGTCATGGTGTGTCACAAGATCCTGACTGTCATGGTGTGTCACCAGATCCTGACTGTCATGGTGTGTCACCAGATCCTGACTTTCATGGTGTGTCACCAGATCCTTACTGTCATGGTGTGTCACCAGATCCTGACTGTCATTGTGTGTCACCAGAACCTGACTGCCATGTACTGTCACCAGATCCTGACTGTCATGGTGTGTCACCAGATCCTGACTGTCATGGTGTGTCACCAGATCCTGAATGTCATGGTGTGTCACCAGATCCTGACTGTCATGGTGTGTCACCAGATCCTGACTTTCATGGTGTGTCACCAGATCCTGACTGCCATTGTGTGTCACCAGATCCTGACTGTCATGGTGTGTCACCAGATCCTGACTGTCATGGTGTGTCACCAGATCCTGACTGTCATGGTGTGTCACCAGATCCTGACTGTCATGGTGTGTCATCAGACCTGGCTGCTCTTATGTCATTAAACCCTGGCTCTCTTGATCATTGACTTGCATTCTCTACCACAGTGTGGCCTAATCTACGAAGATGTATCGTTGAAGTTTTGCATTATACATTATCCCAATAGACAATACAAATTACAGCAGTTACCCTTTAGATGTAAGATAGAAACTTTCAGTGTTGGCAAGTTAAAGTAAATAAAGTACACAAACCAGCACACAGATACCAGACGGCCTAAGTAGTATCATGTTTATTTGGCTCAGACAGACTCATATTGCTTGCACAGTAGTGGGTTTATATTAAAGTTTGAGAGTTATGTTCATCTCAAGGCAAGGGCAGTGTAGGACATGGTCCTCTGATGACTGTGTGCTCAGACAGCAGCAGGACATGATCCACTTGTGGGGTAGGCTATGTACAGCATACCACTTATGACTGTATACAGAGACAGCAGGACATGGTCCTCTGATGGGGTAGGCTGTGTACAGCAGGACATGGTCCACTGATGACTGTATACAGAGACAGCAGGACATGATCCACTGGTGGGGTAGGCTATGTACAGCAGGACATGGTCCACTGATGACTGTATACAGAGACAGCAGGACATGGTCCTCTGATGGGGTAGGCTGTGTACAGCAGGACATGGTCCACTGATGACTGTATACAGAGACAGCAGGACATGATCCACTGATGGGGTAGGCTGTGTACAGCAGGACATGGTCCACTGATGACTGTATACAGAGACAGCAGGACATGGTCCTCTGATGGGGTAGGCTGTGTACAGCAGGACATGGTCCACTGATGACTGTATACAGAGACAGCAGGACATGATCCACTGGTGGGGTAGGCTATGTACAGCAGGACATGGTCCACTTATGACTGTATACAGAGACAGCAGGACATGGTCCTCTGATGGGGTAGACTGTGTACAGCAGGACCTGGTCCTCTGACGGGGTAGGCTATGTACAGCAGGACATGGTCCACTGATGACTGTATACAGAGACAGCAGGACATGATCCACTGGTGGGGTAGGCTATGTACAGCAGGACATGGTCCACTTATGACTGTATACAGAGAAAGCAGGACATGGTCCACTGATGACTGTATACAGAGACAGCAGGACCTGATCCACTGATGGGGTAGGCTATATACAGCAGGACATGGTCCACTGATGACTGTATACAGAGACAGCAGGACATGGTCCACTGATGGGGTAGGCTGTGTACAGCAGGACCTGGTCCACTTATGACTGTATACAGAGACAGCAGGACATGGTCCTCTGATGGGGTAGGCTGTGTACAGCAGGACATGGTCTACTGATGGGGTAGGCTGTGTACAGCAGGACCTGGTCCACTTATGACTGTATACAGAGACAGCAGGACATGATCCACTGGTGGGGTAGGCTATGTACAGCAGGACAGAGTCCATTTATGTCTGTATACAGAGACAGCAGGACATGGTCCTCTGATGGGGTAAACTGTGTACAGCAGGACCAGGTCCTCTGACGGGGTAGGCTATGTACAGCAGGACATGGTCCACTGATGACTGTATACAGAGACAGCAGGACATGATCCACTGGTGGGGTAGGCTATGTACAGCAGGACATGATCCACTTATGACTGTATACAGAGACAGCAGGACATGGTCCACTGATGACTGTATACAGAGACAGCAGGACCTGATCCACTGATGGGGTAGGCTATATACAGCAGGACCTGGTCCTCTGATGGGGTAGACTGTGTACAGCAGGACCTGGTCCTCTGACGGGGTAGGCTATGTACAGCAGGACATGATCCACTGATGACTGTATACAGAGACAGCAGGACATGATCCACTTATGACTGTAAACAGAGACAGCAGGACATGGTCCTCTGATGGGGTAGACTGTGTACAGCAGGACCTGGTCCTCTGACGGGGTGGGCTATGTACAGCAGGACATGGTCCACTGATGACTGTATACAGAGACAGCAGGACCTGATCCACTAATGGGGTAGGCTATATACAGCAGGACCTGGTCCACTGATGACTGTATACAGAGACAGCAGGACCTGGTCCTCTGATGGGGTAGACTGTGTACAGCAGGACCTGGTCCTCTGACGGGGTAGGCTATGTACAGCAGGACATGATCCACTGCTGATTGTATACAGGGACAGCAGGACATGGTCCACTGATGACTGTATACAGAGACAGCAGGACATGATCCACTGATGACTGTATACAGAGACAGCAGGACATGGTCCTCTGATGGGGTAGGCTGTGTACAACAGGACATGGTCCACTTATGACTGTATACAGAGACAGCAGGACATGGCCCTCTGATGGGGTAGGCTATGTACAGCAGGACATGGTCCTCTGATGGGGTAGGCTATGTACAGCAGGACATGGTCCACTGATGACTGTGTACAGAGACAGCAGGACATGATCCACTAAAGGGAACCTGTAACTATAGTGAGTAAAAAACATAAGATAAATCAGAAACACTGACATGAACTATACTAATAAGCAATGTGAGTTTGATTATCAAAACATATCAAGATTAGTGTGTTTTATTTCCAAGCCATACTG